AAAAAACATATAGAATGATTGAGGACTCAGAATCTTCAGGAATGAGGGCTTGGGTCACTCGACCAGAAAATGAACATAGAGCATTTGAGGTTCTTGCTGAAAGGAACAGAAATAGGGAATGTATTGTCAAAGAAGGAAGTCATAAACATCAACTGACCTCATATTCAATTACAAATATGAGGACTGTAGTAGCCTTGCATATTTTCTGATTGTTATATCTGTTTATTTGTATATACTAACTACCATGTTTTTCTCTCTCATTTTGATTTCATATTCTGTACAATTTACTCTTTAGACAATAGAATATTCAGTGGCACTACAAATGAATATGAGGAGTAATCAATAAAGCCAAAAATTAGTGAGTTAATAATTAATATAACCAACTGTTAGAATCATACATTTTATTTGGATAACTGTCTTGCTAGATAGAAATAGAGTTGTTTTGTTGTTGTATGAGAGCTCATATGTGTGTAGAAGTGTAGAAACTGAGGGCCAGAGGTTTCCAGTGTGCCATTATCAATTTATTGCCTCTCAGCCTTCAATACCTGCTCTGTAAAAAGGGAATGGATTCTGTAAGCATTTCTTCTTTACAGTGAGTATGATGTGAGGCTATGTTAGTAGAGGGAACTGGAGAAGGAAAGGGGCTTCTCTTCCTGGCTTCTCTTCTGGTTGGTTGCTGCATTTTGCTTTTTCTTGTTCTTGCTTCATGGTCTATGGGTTATGTGTATGTGAAAATATTCAGTGATGCTTAGCCTCAGCTGTGCCCCAGAGCATGCATGTCTTAGAGACCTCACAGACCTGACCTGGACCCAGTGACCACCTTGCTGAGACCATCCTGATGACACACTGTATGCTCCAGGTCACATATGCACAGTAGCACCTCAGCTTTCTCTGTATGCCTGCCCATCAGCCTTGGCTTGTATTTGCCACAGAGGGGTATCTCCTGCCACCTTCCTGATGTGGATACCATGCATCTTGGTTGTTAGGTTATAGTCCTGCTCCAGCTCTCTGAGCACTTGGCAACCCAGGAAATTTCTCTGCCATCCATTGGGATGCAATCGCATCTTCTCCAATGAGGTCTGAAACCCAGCCTCTGGGAAGGATCCAAGTTTGTCCTTCCTAGGGACTCTCCTTCAGCCCTAAGGGGCCCTTCAGAATTCTTTGATGTCTTTATATTACTCATCATTGCTTAACAGTTCTTTATATTAAAACTCTGTTTAAATTCTGGTGGGATTTCTGTTTCCTGAATGAACCCAAGTTGATGCAAACTGACTATAGGAATTAGATGTTGGTACAAAAAGCTTCTCTCCGTTTTTGGCAGAAGCCTACCATCATTCACCAAGATCTTCACACTTAGGTTCTCCATGACACCCAACTCCTAGAAGTCTCAGAAGGCAGGACAGCTTGCCATCTGTTTCCTTGGCAGATGAGAATCTCCACATTAAAAACTCTCATCTTTCTCTCCAAGATATGTATTTCTGCCTGTCAGAGCTCTAACAGAACCCAGGAGATGGAGAAGCTCAACAACTTAAAAGTGAAGATCTTTTAACAGTGTTGTTATATTTTTAAGGGGTTTAAGTTCTAAAGTCAGAAACAAAATAAAATTTGTTGTATTCTAAATTATTCTATAAAATATCTTAAATGGTCCACAAAACATATAGCATATCCAACACTAAAGAATAATATGTATATATGTATGTCAAAAGTACACCATCACCATCAAAATGCATATATAATTGTATACAAAATATAATTTCATGATTCATATTTATATGAAAGAGTAACACATATTAATTTATATGAAAGAGTAATATATACCTTATAGTAAATATGCATATGATTGTTGGGAAATGGGGGATTCATATGGTCCTAAGTTATCAGTCCTCAGGTTACTTACCAATTAGAAAGGAAAAAAATATTATAACTTTACAATGGAGATATCTGGCCATTACCACCTTAACCAAATGATCAGATTTATTTATTTATTTATTTATTTTTAAAGATTTTATTTATTTATTTGACAGAGAGAGATCACAAGTAGACAGAGAGGCAGGCAGAGAGAGAGAGAAAAAGAGAAGCAGGCTCCCTGCTGAGCAGAGAGCCCGATGCGGGACTCGATCCCAGGAACCTGAGATCATGACCTGAGCCGAAGGCAGCGGCCTAACCCACTGAGCCACCCAGGCGCCCCAGATTTATTTTTTTTTAAAGATTTTATTTATTTATTTGACAGAGATCACAAGTAGGCAGAGAAGCAGGCACAGAGGAGGAAGCAAGCTCCCTGCTGAGCAGAGAGCCCAATGTGGGGCTCAATCCCAGGACCCTGGGATCATGACCTGAGCCGAAGACAGAGGCTTTAACCCACTGAGCCACCCAGGCGCCCCCAGATTTATTTTTTTAAGATTTATTTATTTATTTATTTGACACAGAGAGAGAGAGGGCACAAGTAGGCAGAGAGGCAGGTAGAGAGAGAGGGGGAAGCAGACTCCCTGCTGAGCAGAGAGCCGGATGTGGGGGCTCGATCCCAGGACCCTGAGATCATGACCAAAGCAGAAGGCAGAGGTTTAACCCACTGAGCCACCTAGGTGCCCCCAAATGATCAAATTTAGCATTGCTAATAGTGAAATGACACAACCTCATGTTTCCCCTAATGTGATACAACAAGAGGACAAAGGTGTTTTATCTGGATTTTACCATAAGGAAATAACTAGACAGTCCAGAATATAAGACATTTTGTACAACAAATGATCTAGATTCTTTAAAAAAAAATCAATGGAGAAAACCAAAAAGTGAAGGCATTGTTATAGATTAAGAGACTAGAGACATAACATTAAATGCAATGCTTGAACTTTGTGTCCTACTTAAAAACCTGTACAAGACATTTCGGGGACACTTGAGGGAAATTTGAATATGTGAATTATGGTATTAATCATTTCCTTGGATCTGATCATAGTGTTGTAGTTAGAGGTACATGGAATGTACTACTGTGTCTACTGATGTAAGTGTGAAACTGTGTTTTGTGGAACATAGTGAGACTATATATATATATATATATATATATATATGTGAGATGTGGTGTTTAGTGATGTGTGGTAAGAAAATGTCCTTGTTTTTAGGAGATATATGCTGACATATTTAGTAGTGAAGTGTCATGATGCTTGAATTTATTTTCAAACGGTAGAGAGAGATTTTCAAAAATGGTAAGTTGTTAACAATTGGTGAATCCAGGGATAGGCATGTATAAGAATCCTTTGTACTATTTTTTCAATGCTTTTGGAAACATGAAAATTTTCAAAATAAATAGTTGAAGACAATGCGCCTACCAGGTGACTCTATCATATGGGAGAAATAAATGTGGGAGGTCACTGAGCTGCTTGTGGATGTTATCCATAGACCCCACTAGCCCAGGAGAACTAGGGAACCAGATCCTCAATCTGTTTCTATAAAAGAAGTTTCAGGAGAAGGAATGCAGAATATCCTGGTTGGAGCAGGAAGGAGTGTATCTCAGGAAGGCAGATGGACTAATTTATCAAGAACATGGTTTTCTGATGACTGACACATTAGTCCATCCTCCTGTTCTGAAGGAAGATTTCCTCACTCAGAGATTGGGGTCAGAAGTCTGAAATGGATCCAGTGGGCTAAAATCAAATTGTTGGCAGAGCTGCATTTCTTCTATAGGCTCTAGAGGAGAATCTATTTCCTTGCCTTTTCCAGCTTCTAGAAGCTGCCTGTATTCGTTGGCTCATGGTCCTTTACTCCATCTTCACTGCATGTCATCCCAAGATCATCTTCTGTCTTCACAATTCTTTTCTGGCTCTGATGTTCCTGCCTTCCTCTCTAAGGAGCCTTGTGATTACATTGGATCTACTCAGATATCCAGAATAATTTTCTCATTCAAAAAAGTCCTTAATTTAAGTGTATCTGCAAAGTTTCTTTTGCCATGTAAGATAACATAGTCATTCACAGGTTCTTTCTGGGGATTAGGACTTGGACATCTTGAATGGGGACATTATCCTATCTACCACATTATCTTATTGCCATTGATTGCTATGTATATTTTCTCCTTTGATTTATTCATACATTTCATATGCTTTTAATGTTCTTCAACATAGGAAATCTATACATAATCCCTGTACAAAATTTATAGTACATGTTGATATCAGCCTTTTATTTGGAATTTTTGCACCTATAACCACAAATGTTAAAATAATTAAGGATGCCATTAGACTTAAGTAGTTCTTATGCACTGCTAGCCTACAAAAACAAACCAAAACCTAAGTCAAAATCAACGCAACCCAGTCAGAGAAAATAAAACTTAGGAACAATTAATAACAAAAAGCCAACTTAGCTTTGCCAAACAGGGCAACTGCTTAAGCTATAGCTAATCAAATAATTTCCTTGGTTTGCTTCAGGGTCTTCTCTGTAAAAACCTCTCCATTAGCTCCTGTTTGTGGGGGCACTCCTAACACTTTCAGTTTGATGCTGCCTGATTCAAGTAGATGTATGCTCAAATAAATTCCTGAAACTTTGAGTGCCTCAGTTTATCTTTGAACCCAAAGGAAACTAATCAATACTTTTCTTTTGACCTGTCTTTATCAGATTTTTGCCAGTTAGACAAAATTAATTAGAAAGCATTCCATCTTGTGGCACCTGGATGGCTCAGTTGGTTCAGCAACTGAATCTTGATTTCAGCTCAGGTCATGATCTCAGGGTCCTGGGATCAAGCCTGGCATTGGGCTCTGCACTCAGTGAGGAGCCTGCTTGGGATTCTCTTTCTTTCTCTCCCTCTGCCTCTCCTCCCACTCATAGTCTCCGGAGAGTTCTCTCTCGCTCTAAAATAAATAAATAAAATCTTAAAAAAAAAAAAAAAAAGGCACTTCATCTTTTTCCAGAATCTGAATAAACTGAAAATTCATTATTCAAAAAGTAGCTAAAAATGAACTATAACTATCTGGTACCTTTCTACCAGTACAGTTTAAAGAGATATTTAAATTTTATTTTAGCCCGTTAGGCTGAGACTACATTTCCCAAACGCCTCCAGGACGGGCACTTACCTGGAGTCCCTGGGGCCCCTCCCGAATTTGGTGGAAAGGTCGGGATGCCGGGCTGCTAACTTGCAGCGGTATCGACTAAGGGAGTACTGCACTTTCTGGTGGCGCCCGGGACTGGAGGATGAATTCTCAACCGAAACCTGAGCACCCAAACTCCACCAGGCAGGATCATGGGGCGGGCTGAATAGCGCGGGTCGGGGAGGACTCCTGGTTCATGGTGTAGCGGGGATTCGTCCCCTCCTGATCCCGCTCTCAGAGCGCGGCTCCTGGCGGAGAGAACTCTGAACCGTCTGCTTCCCGGCTTTTAACTACGGTTGCCAGAAGCCTCTGTGCGCTGCGCAGTTTGCAGCGAGGACTGTTGCTCACGGGTTAACTTTGAGGTTTCGGGTTGTGCCGGTGCCTGACCAGCCCACCCTTTCCTCCGCTGTGGGCTACATTTCCCAGAAGCCTCCACGGTCCACAACTTTTTTTTTTTTTAAACCCCTCTGCAGAAAACTCCTGCTGCTTGGACCTGTCGGTTCGCCCAGGTCCTCAGGATGCTCAAGCTAGCGTGGGCCGTCAGTAGTACTGGCCTGAAGGCTAAGTACACGACGTTCCCTGGGCGGTGAAACCTTGTACCGGCCAGGCTCTGGGTGGATTTTTCCTCCCCGGGACTACATTTTCCTGAGGGCTCTGCGGCATTTGCCACTTCCGGCCGAAGTTGGCTGGCGGTTAGTGAGTTGGCGGGAGTTCGGGTGCGAGGGGTTGGGGCGTTGCGGTCGGCCTGCGGATTCGACCAGACTGGTGTGTGAGGACCCGGAGGAAGTGCAAGGTGAGGGGCTCCGGGGCGGGGCCGGGGTCTGTCTGGATTCTTACTTAGGGGTGGCCGTGGGGCATTTCTAGGCTGCGTCCTCGCGCTCGAAAAGTAAAGGACGTCGGAAAAGTTGGGAATGTCGAGGCCGCTACTCTTCCCTCGGGGGAGGGAAGTATCAGCCATGCACCTCCACCGGGTGGGCGAGCGGTTTCAGGCTGGATCTGGAGCTGGCTGGCGGTGTCTGGAGGTCAGAGGTGTCGCTGCCGTGTGATCTGCCTGCACGCAAAGTCCGTGCGATATTCCCTGGACTGGATTGTGCGCCCGACCTCCAGTGCGCTGCGACCACTGCCGGCGGGGCCGTGGTTAGGACACTAGGAGTCTCTCTCTATGGCCCAGTGTGAGAGCCCCATGTGGCCGGCCGCGTTGCCGGCTCTGCCTCTGGAGCTAGAACTGGAAAAGAGCCTCCCTTTGTACTTTTTTGGTCGACGTTGAGCCGGGTCAGCGAGTGGATGGTTCTGGGTCAGTCTCATAACCCGCCCGCGTTTCGAGCCTTTTTAGTCCTTGTTGTTCCTGTTGGATTCTGAATTCCAGCCGAAACTGACGCAGAAACCGCCACTCGCTCTTCAGCGCGGTGAATGGCCTTCTCCCCGGGGCTCTTTCTGGTGTCCCAGAGTTTTCCAGAGCTTGGCCCTGGGAGCACTTCCTTCCACTCCCTGTGCTTTTACTCTGAGAGCTCAGGGGATCCAGGCCCATAATGGTGCCCCAGTTTTAGAGGACAGGAGTGTGAGATTCTGACTGATGGATCCACGTATGTTGTGTTTTAGGGCCACAGATCTGGGCTCAGTCTAAGATGCAGGGCCTGGAAGAACCCAGACAGGCTCCTGTGGAGAACTCCACAGGCTGGAGTTCTCTCCCAGGACTCCCATCTGGGCCGCTAAGGTCGCCTGCTTTGTGTGATGATGATAGGAGTGGGGGTGGGGTTACAGGCTTCTTTGGCTTTGGGCTCACCCTCGGTTCCTGGAGTGGAGCCAGGGTTTGCTGTGATTTGGCCTTCTCTGAGCTCCTGAAAGGTCTGTTGTCTCATAGTTTAACCCTTTTCCATCCTAGAAGAATCCAGAAGAGGAGAGAAAAGCCACTGTACATCAAAAGTCATGGCAGAGGTAAGTTGTATTTGGCACTCTTCTTGGAAGGGGCTTCCTGGTTTTCAGAACAATGTTTCATTTCAGGATTCTATCCAAAAGATTTACAATAGTGATTTGGAAAAAGGGTAAGAGAGAAGGAAACTAAATTTATGGAGGAGTTTTCCTAAACCAGACAGAAGTCTAAACCAGGGCTGTCTGCTTTGCATACATTGTCTCATCAGTCTAGAATTTCCATTTCCCTGGATTTTATTAATTCCCAGAACAGCTGTGACACATGTGCCTCACTGATTTGGCAGGAAAGTTAAAGAACAGAATGAGGTTACTCGCTTCAGCCTCACTAATTTCTTTGTGGTCTGCTTCAGAGTCACATGCAGTAGCCTGTTTGCTTCCAAATTTCTAACAGCCTGGAAGGCCTGCCTGCTCCTATCAGCTCTACGTACTTTTTCCCCCCAAGATAGAAATAACCTAATTGCTCTCTTTTTAATGACTAAAGTAAAACAGGATTCATGCAAAAATTTCAAAACTTGAGAAAGTTGATTAAGGAAGTTTGTCACCCATGGTCCCACCATCTAGAGATAGTCATGATTAATATTTTCAAATTTTGTCTATACATATGTGTAGGTATGTAATTTTGTTTTCAGAATGGGATCATGCTACTGATAGAAGCAACCAGCTTGTAGTTTCAAGTTCTTTACATGTGTTATCTTGTTGAATCCACATTAATAACCCTTTGAGACAGGTATAACTGTGTTTCTTCAATTCTGTTAAACTTCTTTGAAATCAGGACTGGTTTTATAATTCTTGGCAAGTCATAGTTTCATCAGTGGTATTTTTCTTTACTGGTGTAACTAATGGTGGCTTTACAATCATTGGTACCCCAGAATTGATGAAATATGGTATTATTTTAAGTTGACAGATAAAGAAATAAATTCTATTAAGTCACTCCAAAATTACACAGTTAACAAGTAGTACAACTAGGATCCCTCTATTTTTGCCCGTTTGTCAGAGAGCGTTACCTTTTTTGGTTTATGTTGAACAACTTTATATGTTAAACATACTCTCTGTTGTAAGTTTTGAAAATATTTTTTCACAGTTAATCTATTTTGCATCTGTTTTAGATTCAGAGTTTTCAAAAAATGTTTTCTCCCTTTATGCCATGGCCCTCTCTACTGTAAATATGGAAAAGTCATTCAGGGGTGCCTGGGTGGCTCAGCCGGTTAAAATCAAGAGTCAGACGCTCAGGTCATGATCTCAGGGTTGCAAGGTTGAGCCTGTGTCGAGCTCCATGCTGAGCATGCAGTCTAGTTGAGGTTCTCTCTCTCCCCCTTTCTCTCTGCTCCCCTCCCCATTTGCATTCTCTAAATAAATGAACAAATAAATAAAATCTTTTTTTAAGGGGCGCCTGGGTGGCTCAGTGGGTTAAAGCCTCTGCCTTCGGCTCGGGTCATGATCCCAGGGTCCTGGGATCGAGCCCTGCATCGTGCTCTCTGCTCAGCAGGGAGCCTGCTTCCTCCTCTCTCTCTCTGCCTGCCTCTCTGCCTACTTGCGATCTCTGTCAAATAAATAAATAAAAATCTTTAAAAAAAAATCTTTTTTTAAAAAGTCATTCACATTTTCCTAAAGTACTTTGTCTTTTGCCTAAGTGATTCAATCTTTAAGCATCTGGTGTGAGATATGACCAGCAAATGTTGGCTGTAAAATTCCTAATTTGGGGTATTTATTTAGATTTTTCTTTTCTGTGACTTTGGAGTTTTAAAGAATGGCATAATATTGGTAGTATGTTCAGGGTGTTTTCCTTGGATGTGTCTGAGTGTGGCTCTTCATTCTGGTCAGTTGGTTCTCAAGGGTTCCTTTCTCTCGAAAGACTAATAAAATACTTTTTGTATTCTGGATTAATTTGTTTCTTTTCTCTGCCTTTTCTTCTGAATTCTGTGAGAACTTGTTAAGTCTGCTTTCCCATTCCCATCCTGGCTAGAACCTTCCTCAGAGTCTCAGAGGAAAAACTACACCCTCCCCATCCAGTCTTAGCACATTTTGGTAAGGAAGGAACTCGAGCTTCTCTTGCCCTAAACCCTGGACAACTGTCCATTTCCCTTTATTTCCTCTCCTCAGAGTGGTGGATTGTCCTTTATTTATTTATTTATTTATTTATTTTATTTAATTAATTTATTTATTTGTCAGAGAGAGAGCACAAGCAGGGGGAAAGACAGAGGGAGAGGGAGAAGCAGACTCCCCATGGATCAGGGTGCCCAATGCGGGACTCGATGCCAGGACCCTGGGATCATGACCTGAGCTGAAGGCAGCCACTTAACCTATGGAGCCACCCCGGAGCCCCCCTTTCTGTGTCTTAAGAAGCTATGCACTGTTAAAAAAAAAAAAAAAGGTAGAGTCTTACCTATTTTTCTATATGACTATGGACTTCCTCATAACTTCCTCTATATAATGTCATTATACAAGGTTTGGAGAATGTGATAGTGATGGAAATTCACCTGAATGTATCCTTTAACTGGCAACCTGGAGTTCCCCCCACTCTTACCTCCTGGTCTCAATCCCATTGCTTCTGTGCCTTTCTGGTTCCCTGATCTCATGCCTTTAACCTCACTCCACTGTCTGCATGCCACATCAGACCTTTGTGTAGGGGTGGGTAGTGTATTGTCCTCTAATGGGGCTCCCTGGCTCTACTTTTACTCCTTGCCTATGAAATAGTCCAGTCATGTCACATCCTTTTTTGAGTGAATCCCTGTTACTTTTAGGACAAAGCTCCAACTCTTTCACATTTGTTATACATTTTCTATAAAGCACATTCTATATTTATTGGAGCACCAATCCTAGTGTTGGAATAAAGCAGTAAGTGAGGATGCATTTAGTCCTGCCAGGGATGACCTGTCGTCCAAGACCTTTCCATTCCATTTGCCACCGCTGCCCCCAGGCAATCCTATTAATGTGCATCTTTTTATTACTGCGAGTTCAGTTCATGCAAAATGATTGTCTTGTGTTAAGACCCAATGTGATCAGTTTTCTGAATCCTCCAGATATGTCTGAGAAGAATGTGATAGTGATGGAAATTCACCTGAATGTGTGCTTAAACTGGCACACATTTGAATTTGGTGCATTATTCTATATGTTACCATTAAATCAAGCTTGTTAATTTTGTTATTTTGTAATTTAAATAATTTCTGTTTTTACTGATTTTGTCTTGTGTCTATCAGTTATTTCAAGTGATGTGTTCTCTCATAATTATGACGATTTGTCATAATTTTGTTCTTTTATTTATGTGTATGTGTGTCTCAATATGTTTATTTTTTATTAGGTGTGTATATTTTCATCTTTTACCTCCAGTCTTTTTGGATATTTATGTTTTGGTTGTATCTCTTATGAACACCATATATTTGGGCTTTTGTTTTTGACCTTTGTCTTTTAATGAGATCATTTAGCCCATTAATACTAATTGCTGAGATAGGAGCACCTGGCTGTCTCAGTCAGTGGAGCGTGTGACTCTTGATCTTGGGGTTGTAAGTTCAAACCTCATGTTAGGTGCAGAAATTACTTATAAAATAAAGTCCTTTTTTAAACAATTGCTGATATAATTGAAAGTATCATTATTGGCTTAGTTTGTGCTTTTTAACCTACTTTTTCCATATTGTTTTAACTTCCTTTCACCCCTGTGTGAGTTTGAAAATTATAAACTAGTTTCAATTATTTAGTGGTTACCTTAGAAATTTTAATGTATTTTATTTTATTTTTTTTTTTTTAGATTTTATTTATTTATTTGACAGACAGAGATCACAAGTAGGGAGAGAGGCAGGCAGAGAGAGGGGGAAGCAGGCTCCCTGCTGAGCAGAGAGCCCTACGCGGGGCTTCCGATCCCAGGACCCCGGGATCATGACCTGAGCTGAAGGCATGACCTGAGCTGAAGGCAGAGGCTTTAATCCACCGAGCCACCCAGGAGGTGCCCCAAGAAATTTTAATGTATTTTAACTTAGTGTCCAAAACTAAAGAACATCTTTATGCTCTTGCTGAATAGTATAGGGAACTAGGATAATCTAACTGATTAAACAATTTATATTGTTGTCAGATTTTTTTGTTGATGTTTTGTTTTAAAGATTTTATTTATTTATTTGACTGAGAGAGCTCACAAGTAGAGCAGCAGGCAGACAGTGAGAAAGTAAAGCAGGCTCCCCACTGAGCAGAGAGCCCAATGTGGGGCTCGATCCCAGGACCCCAGGATCACGACCAGAGCTGAAGGCAGACGCTTAACTGACTGAGTTACCCAGGCGCCCCTGTTGTCAGATGTTTTAATTCTACCTTTTTTTTAATCCATAAAACATTTTTATTAATTTATATATTTCGATGTTAGCTTATCTCTCCACATATTTACCGCTTTCTTTGTTCATTATTCTTATATCTTAAACCCTCTACCTTGGGATCATTTTCCTTCAGATGGAAGTGCATACTTTAATGAGTTTTGTGAGGGTTTTGATTTGGGTTTTTTTTTAAATGTCTTGATTTGCCCCCATTTGTGAAAGGTAATTTTCTCTCAGCTAACTGAAATAGTTTGCTGGCTTCTGGTTTATATTGTTGCTATTGAATAATCATCTGTCAATCAGACTGGTGTTTCTGTGTAGATAATCTGTCTTTAATCTCAAATTGCTTCTAACATATTCTCTTTTGTTTTTGGTGCTCTGCAGTTTTGGTATAATTGTCTAGGGTTTCTTTCTCTTTATTCTCCTTGAGACTCGTTGGGCTTCTGAATAATGCTTTTTTTCTTTTTTTAAGGTAGTAGATTTTTTTAGATTGTAGGAAGTTTTATAGTTCTGTTCTTTTTTTTATTTTTTAAGATTTATTTATTTACTTGTCAGAGAAAGAGAGAGAGCATAAGCAGGCAGAGTGGCAGGCAGAGGCAGAGAGAGAAGCAGGCTTCCTGTTGAGCAAGAAGCTCGATGTGGGACTCGATCCCAGGACCCTGGGATTGTGACCTGAGCAGAAGGCAGATGCATAACTGACTGAGCCACCCAGGCATCCTCTGAATAATGCTTTCTTTTGCTAGTTCTGAAAATTTCTTAGCCATTAGGCCTTTTTTTTTTTTTTTTTTTTTTTTTTTTTTTAAATAAGCAAGCTCTGTGCCCAGTGTGGGGCTTAAACTCACGACCCCAACCAAGATCAAAAGTCGTATGCTCTACCAACTGAGCTGCTAGGTGCCCCATTAGTTCTTCATTTACTGCCCCTGCTATCAAAAAGGACAACATGGGAATGAAGAGAGCATTCTGCACAATCTCTTTTTGTATCTGTAGTCCAGTAATTTTTCTCTTTGGAGGTATTTATTCTAGCCTTTGTATGACTTAATTTTAAATATTAGGGTTTTTTGCTCTAGAAGTAATTTTTCCTTTTTTTTTTTTTTTTAAGATTTTATTCATTTATTTGTGAGAGTGAGAGAACACAATGCAGGGGCAGAGGGAGAAGGAGATTCCCCACCAAGTGGGGAGCCTGAGGTGGGGCTCAATCCCAGTACTCTGGGATCATGACCTGGGCTAAAGGCAGACGTTTAACTTATGAGCCGCCCAGGCGCCACTATTTTTTCCTTTTAAATCTACCTGTCATTTGGAGTGCCTAGGAGGCTCAGTCAGTTAAGCATCTACCCTCAGCTCAGGTCATGATGGGATCCAGTCCAGCTTGGACTCCTTGCTCAGCTAGGAGCCTGCTTCTCCCTCTGCCTGCCACTCCCCCTGCTTATGCTCACTCGTGCTCGCTCTCTCTGACAAATAAATAAAATCTTTAAAAAAAAAAAATCTACCTGTCATTTTTGTGGTTTTGTTTCTCACCATCTTGCCCCTTTTTTTTGTAATATACCTGTTTTGTATGAATCTTTGGAGATACAACATTTTCCCCTTAACATTTTATTTTGTTGTGGAAAGTTTTTAAAATATAGTGGAAATTTGAAACAATTGCATGATTGATTTTCCTGACTCTCTGATCCTGGAATTGTGCCTCTGTGCATGTTTTACTTTTATTTAGGGGAAATTCATGTAACATAAATTAACCATTTTATAGTGTACATTTAGTGGCGTGTAGGCATTTTCCTTGAAATTCTGTTTATGGATTCTTGAGGCCTGGTTGAAGGTTGTTCTTCTAGGCCAGGTCTTTGTTTGCTTCCGCCAAGAGAACTGCCAAACCAGAGCCACCTTAAAGTAGGTTTATAGATGGCAAGTTTTATGGATTCACCTTTGTAATGTACATGTGAGCCACAGACCTGTGGGAGAGCTGACTTGTGATTATAATTCCTCAGGAGAAAATATTTTTCTTCTACCAACTGCCAGGATTCAAGTCAGGCTGTTTTCCTTGTAGCGTCCAAAACTGGGAGTGTTGCTTCTACTTTTTCTGTATTTTGTGGGGATGGTCTAGATGTCCCCGGTCTTTGCAGTATAGAACCGTTTAGACTCCCATCTTCACCAGCTATAGGCTTGGTTTTCTCTCCACTGATTCTCTGAATGTCAAAGCTCACAGTCATCTTGGCTCTGCACACTCCTGTTGGTTCCCAGTTTGACTCAATTTTAGCTTCTGAAGATTACTTTCCTTCTTTGCCAGATCATCATTGCAACCCAAAATGTTTTTAATATTCAGAACATTTATTTTTCACTGGTGATTTGGTCATGGTAACCAGTCTCCGCAGAGCTTGATGTCCTGTGATTGTCTCTACTTTTCTGTTTTTCCTTCCTGATTCTGAGCTTTTTAAGGGCAGGTGCTGGATCTAAATCATCACATCCCCAAGTCCCCACTCAGAGCCAGAGTCATGGGGAATTTTGATATTGTCAGATAAAGGCATTTTGTTTGCAGAACTGCTTCTTTCCTTCCTCTCCTTTCTACCTTTAGTTTTCCCTCATAGAAGTCTGTGCTCTGTAGTGACACGCAGAGCAGACCAAGCATCTTCTGCTCGACAAGTAGAGAGCCCGGTTCAGGATTTTCTTGAAGGCTCTTCAGAAATGGCTGCATCTGTAAGAGCCAGAAATGGAAGACTGTCAGCTACAGAGTTGGAGAAATCCAGATTCAAAACCCAGCAGTGCCACTGCTAACTGCAGATTTGAGGAAATGACTTCACTTATTTGAGCTCAAGTTTCCTTTGAATTAGGATTTATGGGCTTCTCCTGAGGATTCAGACTTATAAGTCACCAGAAACTTAAACTGCTCAATATGCAATAATTGTTCTTGAGATGCAGTGAACACTGACTATCAGCAACAAGGCTAAGGGTAGCAGTGAGAGGGAATAATGTCAATTAGGAAAGCCAAGTTTAGAGAACTTGTGATCTTCATTGGGAACCAGAATATGTTGGCCATGAAAATTCTGAGAATTGTGGTTTCTTGTAAAGCCAATGTAGCCTGTGTCCAGATGGTTGAGCTTTGCCAAGACTACTTAGGACCTGCTGGTGCTGGTGGATTGTCTGGCTCAGTAGTGGTGATTCTGGACAGGGTCTTTGTGGAAAGAGATTTCATTTGGGGATTTTAAGGGCCCCAGTTCTGGCATGTGGGAACAAAGCTGAGGAGGTACCTAATAAACTGAGTCTGTTAGGCGAGGGAGAGGCCGGAGACCTCTGTTCCAGAAACTGTTGTCCAGGGCTGGGCCTGCCAAGTATTCTGTGCTCCTGGGCCTGGGGGCTCCACCATATCTTTGGGATGCCTGCATGGCTGAGGAGCTCAGTGTCTTTCAGGTCGTAGAACAAGGATCTGCCTGGGGCAAGTCAGAACAGGCCCTTCTGGGGCTCAGGTCAGTTGGGAAAGTTGGTTCCTCTAAATACATTATATATAGTTGGATTCTCAGGGGTTCAGGGCAAACAAAGTATTGTAACCCTCCCTCAAATCAAGAAAGATACTCGAGAGAGAGAGAAGGAGAGACACACACACACTTCTGTAGTATATGTTCATCCTGGGTCACATCATTGTGAGTCTGGATCTTCCTCCCATCAGTTCTGGCAGATCAGGAACATGGAGAGTATAGTGAGGGACAATTTACAGGAACAGGAACGTTATAGCCAGATAAGTATAAATTGTTGAAGAGAGAAGACTCATACTGCAAAAGAACTTTAGAGAACTTGTGCAACCTAGTACCCCAAAATAAGAATATTGTTGTCTATTTTAGAATTTTTGGTCACATGGAAAACTGATCAGGCTTTAATATTCTGGCATATTTATGGGCATATGTTTTTAAGAAGTTATTAAATCGTAAGTTACAAAGCATCATAGAAATCACCAAGTTATATTCAAATCCTATTTTCAGAAATGGAAATTTTATAAAATATTTTTGAATGATTCAGTTTTAAGAAGTTTTTCTTTATTGGGAGAATGGAAAGGAGATAGCCACAGGTGGTGTGCAGTGAACATAGAGTATGCTTGCATGTATAGTTTTATTTAATTGAGAAACACCAGTTGTCTGAACTTTGGTTATTCCCAGACTAGGGGGAGGTTAATGGAAGAGGATAGAGCCCAAGAGGTTACTCCTGTAGTCCCAGGCATGCTTAAGCATGATGTGTGCACCAAGAATAGTGTGTACCTTGGTCTCTCTTGTTTCTACACTGAAGGGCCCAGCACGGCCTGTTTTGTCAACATTGTTACCTTACTAAATTACCTTCTCCGTTTTTTTTTTTATTCTGTTGTAAAGATTTTGCCTGTCAATTTTAAAAATAATAAATATATCGATCTGTGGTTTTAGGGCTTCACGTTCAAAGATGTGGCCATTTACTTCTCTCAAAAGGAGTGGGAATGCTTGCACTCTGCCCAGAAGGGTTTGTACTGCGATGTAATGTTGGAGAATTATAACAACCTCATCTCACTGGGTAAGTTATGTGTCCCTCCCCCCGCCCCCCGCCCAAAATTCAGCATTGGTCTTCTGGAATTTTACGTTCTTTGTTATGAATTTCTCATGAGTGCTTCTCAAATGCCTGGCTGAATTAATGATTCTTGTTGCTTCCCAAAGAAGGGATTATCCCTTATGAAGTTAGAATTGGCCGCTCCAGGGGTGTCTGGTGGCTTAGTTGTTGAGTGTCTGCCTTCAGCTCAGGTCATGATCCCTGGGTCCTGGGATTGAGCCCTGCATCAGGTTCCCTGTTCAGCGAGAAGCCTGCTTCTTCCTCTCCCACTCCCCCTGCTTATGTTCCCTCTCTCGCTCGCTCACTCTCTTTCTCTCTCTGTCAAATAAATAAATAAATAGTCTTAAAAAAAATAATAATTGACTGCTCCATTGGACAACTTTTCTTTTTTGTTTTGCTCCTCTGACCTTCACCCCTTCTGTTGATCTTTAACCTGCTTACTCTTTCTTGATAATCATGGATTGATTTTAGGGGCGTCTGGGTGGCTCAGTGGGTTGAAGCCTCTGCCTTCGGCTCTGGTCATGATCCCAGGGTCCTGGGATCAAGCCCCGCATCAGGCTCTCTGCTCCACTGGGATCCTGCTTCCTCCTCTCTCTCTGCCTGCCTCTCTTGACTACTTGTAATCTCTGACTGTCAAATAAAGAAATAAAATTGTCAATAAATAAATAAATAATTTTAAAAAGGTAATCATGGATTGATTTTAATTCTGGTGCACATACAATAACATTGTCTTTTTTTTTTTTTTTTTTTTGAGCAGGACTTTCTGATTCTAAGCCAGATGTGATCTCCTTATTGGAGCAGGGGAAGGAGCCCTGGATGGTTAAGAACCAGGATAAAAAAGAATGGTGCCCAGGTGAGTGATGGTGACTCCTATTAGGACGACTGTGGCAGGGGGCCAGTGAGAAAGCAACATGGCTGAGCTGTTAGTAGGAAAGCTTGCTAAAATGGTCCAAGATCTGGAGAAAAAAGGAAGGATATGTCAGCATGAGGGCTCAAATTTTCTCTCTACTTACCACTCTTGCTACGCTTCCTCATATTTGCTTCTGATTTCCGGAAGGAAGCACTTTCCTCCTTCACAAGAGACAACCATTTTCCCAGCACTTTGGGTCCAATTTTGTCATCTTTAAAGCAGCTGGCTCTATTAATAAAGATAGAAATCACATATCCTAAAATTCACTTAAAGTGTCCTGTTTAGTGGTTTTTAATACAGTAACAGAGTTTTGCAACTGTGACAACCATCTAATTTTAGAACCTTTTCATCACCCCAAAATGAAATCCCATACCTATAAGTAGTCAGTCCCCACACCTAGCCCTAGCCCTTTATTTCTCTAAGGTTGGTAGTGTTATCCCTCCTTCATTCCTGATATTAGTATTTGTCTTCTTTCTTTTTTTTTCTCTTGGTCAGTATGGCTAAAAGTTTGACAGTTTAGTTGGTTTCCCTGTTCCCCTTTTTCTATTTTGTTTATCTGCCCTCTAATCTTTGTTATTTTCTTCCTTCTAGTATCTTTGGGTTTACTTTGTCCTTTATCTAGTTCCATAATCTGATTTGAGACCTTTATTGGGTTTTGTGGGGGGAGGTTTAATATAGGCATTTTAAGCTATAAATTTCCCTTTAGAATCTGTTTTAACTGTATCCCATACGTTTTGGTGTGTTAAGTTTTCCTTTCATCCACCTGAAGCATTTTCTTATTTCTCTTCTGATTTTTTCCTTGACCCATCAGTTATTTAAGAACATGTTGTTTTTTCTTGTTGATCTTCTGGCTAGTTGATCTATCCGTTATTGAAAGTAGAGCATTAAAGTCTTCAATTTGTTGAATTGTCCGTTTTTCTTCCATTCTGTTTTTGCTTCATGTACTTTGGGGCTCTCTTATTAGGTACATACATGCTTATAACTTTTACCATTTCTTTTTTAGCTTTTTATTTTGAAATAATTTAAGATTCAAAGGAGTTACAAAAATAATACAGAGAGTTCCCTTATACCCTTCACTCATCTTTCCTAATGATAACATCTTACCTATTCCTAGTACACTGTCAAAGCCAGGAAATTGATGTTGACAGAATAGTAGTGGTGAAACTATAAGTAGACCTTATTCAGATGTCACTGATTTTCACATACACTCATTTATTTTTATTTATTTATTTATTTATTTTGGTGTATATTACTATGAAATTTTATGACATGTATAGATTTATATAACTATTACCACAATTGGGATACAGAACCTTTGTCATTTTAGATATTTTTATAAAATATTTTTGAAACACGGGGTGCCTGGGTGGCTCAGTGGGTTAAGCCTCTGCCTTCAGCTCAGGTCATGATCCCAGGGTCCTGGGATCGAGCCCCGCATCAGGCTCTCTGCTCAGCAGGGAGCCTGCTTTCCCTCCTCTCTCTGCCTGCCTCTCTGCCTACTTGTGATCTCTGTCTGTCAAATAACTAAAATCTTTAAATATATATATATATTTTTTGAAACAGTGGTATAAGGCTTAGTTGAATAAAGCCAGATACATAACTTTTAGAATCAGCATTGTTTTGGTTGTATAAAAAGGATGCTACAAAATATTTGGAATGAAATAAAAGGTAACAATGAATAACCTAGGAAGTAGCTGGGGTCAAGAAGTATGCTGATTTAAGGACTGATTTAAATCCCTAATCACTGATAACCCTGCAGTTTTTCTTTTTTAGAAAACTGGCCTGTACAATGGCTGGAGAAATGAGGGTCTTTGGGGGAGATGGTTATAGGTAAGGGTTTGCTGTGAGAGAATATTAGGAGCTGAATATTACCAATATTAGTAATATTACTAATATTACTAATAGAATATTACCAGACTGTTAAGTCTTTTCAGATCTTGGCAAAGGATACAAAGCTGGAAGGAGCAGTAGTAGGATCTAGGTGGTATGGTGGAAATGCTATAGAAGGTAGAAGAACCTATTCATTGAAGGCCCTGAGGAGAATAGTAGTGGGTGGGTGTCCTGGTCGACCTGAATGGAGGTCCATATCATGCAGACCCTTCTCAACCATGCCTAGGACTTTGGATTTTTTTCCTTAAGGACACTTGGCAGCCATTGAAGGTTTTCAACAAGATGAGAACATGATCGGATTTCTAAGACCTCTCTCTGGCTGTCCTGTACAGATTGAATCAGAGGATTCATGAGTGAAAATGGTGTAACTTGCTAAGAAGGAGCCTGTTTGGGAAGTCCAGGTGATTTCGCCTTGTGCTAGAATGAGACCACGGAGTAGGGAAAGCAGAGACACTCAAGGTCGATTTAGGGGAATGATTCTGTAGCTCTGAAGAGTGCGCAGGAGAGGAGCAACGGAAGCATCCTTGATGAATGTTACTTTTTGATTTGTGCATTCCTTTAAGGTCCAAATTTATTATTTGAATCCATGCTTTTTTATAGCTTTCCTTTTCTACCAGATTGTTTTTCCAGAATATTTGAAATAATAGCATCTTCTGACATCTCTCTGGAACTTCCCGTACAGCATAAAATACCAACATCATTTTACCAATCATTATATAGACCTTGCTTCTCCCTCTCCTGCTCCCCCTGCTTGTGCTTATTCTCTCTCTCTCTCACTCTCTCGTGTGCCAAATAAATAAAATCTTTTTATTTATTTATTTATTTATTTATTTTAGATTTTATTTGTTTATTTGACAGAGACACAGTGAGAGAGGGAACTCTCTCTCAAGGAACAAGCAGGGGAAGTGGGAGAGGGAGAAGCAGGCTTCCCGCTGAGCAGGGAGCCCGATGTGGGGCTCGATCTTAGGACACTAGGATCATGATGCTTAACGACTGAGCCACCCAGGTGCCCGAAATCAATAAAATCTTTAAAAAATAATGTTGGAGAAATAGATAAAATGATACATGATAAGTGCACTGCTAAAAAATAGAGTAAGTAGGGGGCGCCTGGGTGGCTCAGTGGGTTAAAGCCTCTGCCTTCGGCTCAGGTCATGATCCCAGGGTCCTGGGATCGAGCCCCGAATCAGGCGCTCTGCTCAGCAGGGAGCCTGCTTCCTCCTCTTCCTCTGCCTGCCTCTCTGCCTACTTCTGATCTCTCTCTGTGTCAAATAAATAAATAAAATCTTTAAAAAAAAATAGAGTAAGTAGAGTAATAAGGGGCGTGTTTTGTAAAGAGTGGCCTCATGTTTGAGTAGAGGTTAGAATGAAGTACTTAAGCCATATGGATCTCTTAGGGAAGAGGCAGAGATTCTGAAGGAGAAATGTGCTTCACAAGTTTGAAGAACATCCAGTTGGTTAAGGAGCTGGAGCAGAGTCAGCTGAAGGGAGGAGATTGGCAGTAAGGTCAGAAAGAAGGTAGTGTGTGACAAATTCAGGGACGATTTTAGAGACCACATAGGGACTTTGACTTTTACTCTGCGAAAGAGGGAAATCCAGTGGAGACTTTGAGGCAGACAAAAGGCTTAATCTAACTTAACAAGAACACTCTTGCCACTGTGTTAGGTATGGGATATTAGGAGGGCAGCAGGGAAAGTAGAGAGACCTGTTAAGAAAGTGTGTTAACCTTGGTGAGAGATGGCTTTGGACAAGGTGGTAGAGATACTGGTAGAGAGAAGTAGTCAAGATCTTGATATATTTTGAAGCCAGAGACGAGAAGACTTGATGTTAGATGTAATTCATGTGTTCCTCCTTTAGATTCTCATTTCGTTGGTCTTAGGTGGTTCCTGGACATCGTATTTGTAATGTTCCTCAGCTGATTCTGATTTTCTTTTCTTTTTTTTTTTTTTTAAAGATTTTATTTATTTATTTGACAGGCAGAGATCACAAGTAGGCAGAGAGGCAGGCAGAGAGAGGAAGGGAAGCAGGCTCCCCGCTGTGCAGAGAGCCCGATGCGGGGTTCGATCCCAGGACCCTGGGATCATGACCTGAGCCGAAGGCAGTGGCTTAACCCACTGAGCCACCCAGGCGCCCTGATTCTGATTTTCACCAGAGGTGAAGAACTATTTCCTTCACAAGTTCCCATCATATTCTCTATTCTCTTCTCCCCTGACCCTTGACCCTGGGCTCCCCCCGCCCCCAATCCCCCACCAGACTTCAGTGCTGTGTTAAGAGTTATTTAAATTATTCACTATGTTTAGTTTGTCATTTCTACCTTAGAACTTCCCTTCTCCTGCCACATGAAAATACCTCCTATTTTCTCTCTTGTTAACCTTACAGATTGGGAGTCCAGAAGAGAAACCAAGAATTTATTTCCAGAGGAGCACAGTTATGAAATTAAATCATTGCACCTGGAGATAAAAAGACTCACAAGCTCCGACCTTGAGTGTACTAGGTTTGGAAATAACAGAGAAATCAAATGCCACTTGGAGAAACAACAGGAGGGACATTTCAAACAACCTGTTATAACCTCTGAGGAAAGGTCCGGTTCCACTCAGAACGCAGTTCAGAGAGCGCCTCTGACAGTTCATACCAGAGTGAAAACCTACGAATGCAAGGGATGTAAGGAAACTTCCAGGTGCCAGTCACACCATATTCAACATGAAAGAAATCATAATAAGGAAAAAGACTCTAAATGTGGAGAATGTGGGAAAGCCTTTAATAGTAAGTCAGGCTTGATTAAGCATCAGAGAATTCATGAAAGCAAAAAAAGTAAAGAAAATAAGAAATGTGCTGTTATCCATGGCTCTGAAACAACTAAACCTCAGAGCATTAATACTAGTGAGAAACCTTATAAATGTAAGGAATGTGGGAAAGCCTTTCATTCTAACTCACAACTTAGTAAACATCAAAAGATCCACATAGGTGAGAAACCCTATAAATGTAAGGAGTGTGGGAAGGCCTTTCCATCTACCTCACAACTTAGTTTACATCAGAGAATTCATACTGATGAGAAATACTATGAATGTAAGGAATGTGGGAAAGCCTTTACCCGTCCCTCACATCTTCTTCGACATCAGAGAATCCATACTGGTGAGAAACCCCATAAATGTAAGGAATGTGGGAAAGCTTTCCGTTACGACACGCAACTTAGTCTTCATCAGATAATTCATACTGGTGAGAGACGCTATGAATGTAAGGAGTGTGGAAAGGTATATAGTTGTGCCTCACAACTGAGTCTACATCAAAGAATTCATACTGGTGAGAAACCTCATAAATGTAAGGAATGTGGGAAAGCTTTTATCTCTGATTCCCATCTTATTCGACATCAGAGTGTTCATACTGGTGAGAAACCATATAAATGTAAAGAATGTGGGAAGGCCTTTCGTCGTGGCTCAGAACTTACTCGACATCAGAGAGCTCACACTGGTGAGAAACCCTATAAATGTAAGGAATGTAAAATGGCCTTTACTTGTAGCACAGAACTTATTCGACATCAAAAAGTTCACACTGGTGAGAGACCCCATAAATGTAAGGAATGTGGGAAGGCCTTTATTCGAAAGTCAGAACTTACTCATCACGAGAGAAGTCATAGTGGTGAAAAGCCCTATAAGTGTAAGGAATGTGAAAAAGCCTTTGGTCGTGGCTCAGAACTTAATCGACACCTGAAAATTCATACTGGTGAGAAACCTTACAAATGCAAGCAATGTGGGAAGGCCTTTATTCGTGGTTCACACCTTAGTAAACATCAAAGAATTCACACAGGAAAGAGGAGTGAATAAAGTTATGTGGGAAGGCTCAAAATTTTATGGACATCTGCAAAGTCAAACTAGTAAAACACAAAACCCCCTGTGATTTTAAGGAATGTGGGATAGCCTTTGAAGATAACTTAATATCGGAGCTTACACTGTGGATCAGGGCCTTTATTTGAGGGCCGTAATTTATTTGACATGTGTTAATGTTGATATACTTTATAAATGTCAGGGATTGGGAGGGTTCTCTTTATGTTTCAAAATTTATTAGATATCAAGGTTCAATTGATATAAAAGTGAAAAAACTCCTTGAATGTAAGGAAAGTGGGAAGGCTTTGGAAGGCAGTTAATGTGTCAGAGACTGTCATACCAACGATTCGCAACATCGGGGTCATTTGGCCTGGGGGAAATCAAGAGGATTTATAATATAAATATCATAAATATAGGAGACCAATTTGCTTTAGCTAACAAATTACTCATCTCACTTCATACTTGAGGAAGACTGCAGTAATGTTAAAAATGCAGCTGATTCTTCCATCCCGCTCAGATCTTAAATATTTGCAAGCTTGTCCTCTAAAATTAACTTAAACTGAGGCAGAGTGGTAAAGGATTTAAGCAATGCTCAGGTATAGGGCAAATTACTTAACTAGATCTAAACTTTCTCAGTTATAAATTAATAATGTTAGCACCATCTTATTAGCATTATAAGATTAAATAATTACATTATATCCCATGGAATACTGTATGGCTCATATTGAAAGTGAGTTAAATAGCTGCTTCTATTTATTTTCATATTTGTGGATAGAGATCATAGAAGAGGAAGGCTTTTATGTGTACCATGACTATGGGAACATCTTATATCATCTTTTGAATGTCAGGTAATTCCTTCTGGAGAATAATTGAAAACTGAACTTTTTGTTCACCTTGCCCTCTTGCCTCACTAGGGGAAAGGAAATCAAGGCAAGTTACAATTTGGAGTGAATGACAAACAACTCCATGTTGACAGTTGTAGGATGCAACAGAGCTATCCTTAGGAATATTAACTTCTTTTAATATGTGTAGAAAATATGGACAGTTAATGGCCACAATTCATTGTCAGTGCACTGTACTTGGTGTGCAGGCTGTTCTAATAGGTTCCCTGGAAACACTTGTTGAAATCCGAGGAATGAGAGAGTGAATGAATAAGCAGTCAGCTCTAGTGTGTAGAAAAGCTCTAACCAGTTAAGAGCAAAGCCAAAAACAAAGCAACAACAACAACAAACCTTGAAAACTTCCTGAGATGGGAGGAAAAAACCCTCAAGCATCATGAATGAGAGGAACTGTAACTACAAAAAAGGAGTTTTAAAGAAAAAAGGCAATGTTGTTGTGGCAGACACTGTTGGTTGCCTATCAGTTGTTAGCCATTCTCCCTTTGCCAGGACTGCCTGCTGCTCATCTAAAGTCTAGGTCTTGCTCTCCTAGTTTGCTTTGCATCTGGGCATATATGTAACAGTCCTAGCCATACAAGAGCTGAGCAAAATTCTGCAAGTAGGCTTCAGGTTAAATTTTCTTGCCCAACAAAATAAGAGGAAATAGTCCTCTTATATACAGGATGCATGTCTGTATGTCTGTGTGATACCAGAATTGTGGCCATTTTGCTACCGGAGGGGTGAAAGGCTGAGATTGATACGCAGGATAGATTGGAATTACCTGCATCCTTGACGTTGTTGAACTGAGGAAACGATGCAGAGCTGCTCTGCCCCTGAGTTTTGAGTAAAATAACAAACTTCATGCATATCTGTTTTAAGTTTATACTCAATTTTTTATGATAGACCTGAGTCCTGGGGAAAAAAAGTATATGTGTGTGTGTGTGTGTGTGTGTACACCTTTAATTTAGTAAGATGAGGAAATGTTTATATTCAGCTTTTTATACTGTATCTGAAAATGTGGAAGAGCATTATTAAATATTTTTTAAATGGGTACACATATGTTCTACTTTGCTTTAGTAAGACATGGGAAATGGTTTTTGTTTTCTTTTTACATTCAGCATTGTATTGTGTGTGTTTATATTCAGCTCTTTAAAGCATGGCTGAAATCTTGAGAGTATTTTTCTGAATAAAGTAAGAACCAATTAAAAAAAAAACTGATTAAAGAGGTATACGTGATTCCTCTACTATCAGCGTATCTAACAGATAAAATCTTCTAAGTTTCCAAGATACAGTCACAGCTATGAGGCTAGCATAACCCTATAAAGAAACTTGGAAAAGGACAACATCCAAATCAAATCAGCTCTAAAAATAATCTACTGTACTTAACGGTATATGAATATTCCAATTAAAATAGCAAATCAAATCTAGCAGCCTATTGAAGAAAGTAGTGTTTTGTTTGTTTTTGTCTTGTTTGGAATAAAATGGGTCATGACCTGTCCAATTGTTTTTTAATGTAACACATAAAGGTAGCATTTACACATTGAAAACTAGACCCTAATATTATGATTTCCCACAGAAAGTAGCAAATGAGAAACTATTACAGCGTATATATATTCAACTGCTGTGAAGTCACTGCAGTTATCCACTTAATCCTACCTCATGGGCTGCAGACATATTTGGAATAATCACCATCCAGTGTATTCCATGGTAGCTTCACACTTCAGAAAATGATACATACTTCAAATAAGTTTAATGTAAACATGTATTATGTGGTACATTAAATCAGTCATAGAGAATGTCAGCCCATTGGAGGACAATTACAATAAAAATTCAAGCATTTTTAATTTTTATTATTTTTTAAAGATTTTATTTATTTATTTGACAGAGATCATAAGTAGGCAGAGAGGCAGGCAGAGAGAGAGAGGAGGAAGCAGGCTCTCTGCTGAGCAGAGAACCCGATGCGGGGCTCGATCCCAGGACCCTGAGATCATGACCTGAGCCGAAGGCAGAGGCTTAACCCACTGAGCCACCCAGGCACCCCTAATTTTTATTTTTTTAAGTAGGCTCTATGCCCAACGTGGGGCTTGAACTCAAGATGCTGAGATCAGGAGTCGCATGCTCTACCGATGGAGCCAGGCAGGTGCCCCTAAACATTTTTTTAAAGGTGGGAAATGATTGCTAAATTTTATCTGCACTGGCATAATTATTTCATAAGTCTCTTCTTGGAAGTTGTATACTGTTCTAAGAGGACAAGTTATGCCCATAGAAGGTACTGAAGGACTATAAAGGTAGGCAAAATTAGGCATGATCATGGTACTGGTTTCATTATAACTTCAAAACATTTTTTTTTCAGTCATAACAATGTTAGATGGTTTTCTTTCAGTTTTTGTCCATGTATACATATTTCTGTTTTCAAGACTTAAAAGTTGTATTCTAATTTTATAGAACATATTTTACCAAAAAAAGGGGGTATATTGAAAAGATTTTTAAAAAACCTGTTGGGGTGCTTGACTGACTCAGTCTGAAGGTCATGCAACTTTTTTTTTCTATTTGAGAGCGAGAACAAGCAAGAGCCATGAGCAGGGGGGAGGTTCAGAGGGAGGAGAAGAAGCCGACTCCTTGCTGAGGACCCCAGGATCATGAACTGAGCCTAAGGCAGATGCTTAACCAACTGAGCCACTCAGGCAGCCCAAAGAGCATGCAATTCTTGATCTTGGGGTCGTGAGTTTGAGCCCCACACTGGGTGTAGAGATCATAAATGAAATTTAAAAAAAAAAAACAACTACACTTATTCTCTGAATTGCCAATACCAATAGCCTTCCATACTTTCTGCCATACTCAAGAAGCATGCCCGTGTTTAGAAAGTTTGTTTTGGTGGTGGTGGTGGTGGTGGTGGTGTACGTGTGTGTGTTTAGCATGGTTGAAATGGGACTGCGCCTACATATTGAAGTGCAGTCACCTTTTCTCACTTGGTAACATACCATAACTGGTCTTCCTTCCAGTCAGTACCTACAGGTGTAATTTTTTAGCTTTAGACTCACTCATCATAAAGACAAAGCATAATATATGTACTTTCATCATACATAATATATGTACTTTCATACATAATATATGTACTTTCATCAGTGAAAGTTCAGCTTTATTATTTTACAGACAAATGTACAATTTTACTACTCATGTACTGTTTCATATTGGTGTTTATATTTTTGCTGAGTGGGTAGATTCCCTCCAGTTGGATCCCTTGCGTTACAGCATAGTATATTTCTTTTTTTTTTTTTTAAGATTTTATTTATTTATTTGACAGATAGAGATCACAAGTAGGCAGAGAGGTAGGCAGAGAGATGAGGAAGCAGGCTCCCTGCTGAGCAGAGAGCCCAATGCAGGGCTCGATCCCAGGACCCTGGGATCATGACCCAAGCAAAGGCAGAGGCTTTAACCCACTGAGCCACTCAGGGACCCCACAGCATAGTATATTTCAAATGCAGTGGTTAATGCCTTATTTTCTGAAATTCGACATTAATCTAGCAATTATGTGCATTCCCAACAATTTCAACAAGGACTGAACCTTTTGTTAAATTGAAGAAAAGAGTGCCTTTAATTTGCATTTTCTTAATTGTCAGGTTGAGTATGTATCATGCCTAAGAGTTATTTGAATTTTATTTCTGTGAATTGCTTGTTTTTATGTATTCCCTTTGTTAAATTGGAGTAGTTTTTAAAGCAGTTTATAGAAATTTTGTTTTGTCATATACTTTGCAGTTGGTTTTCTTAGTCTAGCATGTATTTTCTGCCTTTTCTAATGACAAAAGAAATCAACAGACCTGTTTCTGTGAAGGGCTGGATAGTAAATATTTTAGGCTTTGTGGTCTTAGAGTCTATACTCTGCCTTTGTAATGTGAAAAGATACATAAACCAGTCGTCCTCAACCAGGGGTAATTTTGCCTTTCCTCCTTCTAACCCCAGGAGACATTGGGCAGTGTCCAGAAACATTTTTGGTTGTCACTTTGAGGGAGAGGGCTGCTGGCATCCAGTAGATAAAGCCAGAGATGCTCTGAGCACCCTGCAAAGCACAGTACAGCCCCTCCCAACAGAATTACGTGGTCCAAAATGTCATTAAGTGCTGACGTTGAGAAATCCTGAGTGTAAGAAAATGGGCATGGCTGTGTTCCAATAAAAAAGAAAACAATTTACACAGGGGCGCCTGGGTGGCTCAGTGGGTTAAGCCTCTGCCTTCAGCTCAGGTCATGGTCTTAGGGTCGTGGGATTGAGCCCCACATTGGGCTCTCTGCTCAGCTGGGAGCCTGCTTCCCCCCTCCCCCTCTGCCTGCCTCTCTGCCTACTTGTGATCTATGTCTGTCAAGTAAATAAATAAAATCTTTAAAAAAAAATTTACACAAACAAGCAACAGGCCATTCCTGTTTTAAATAATTCTTTCTTGCTGTTTGATATCTACTGTTTTGGTTTTGTTCCTGAATTGTCTCTTTCTCCTAATTTTTATAAATTTTCTTCTGTTTTATGCTTTTAAATTTTCTTGACTAAAAAATAATTCAGGAGAACAGTAGCACCTGTGTAACTGCTGCCTATAACTAGGCATCTAATTGTTTTTTATTAAAATTTTATAAAAGGGTGCCTGGGTGGCTCAGTCAGTTAAGCATCCCGCTCTATTTCAGACCAGGTCATGATATCACGGTTGTGGGATTGCACCCCGCATCGGG